CATTTTCTTTCTACTTGAGCCCTTGCTATCAGCTCCTCATTTTTCCCTTCCTCCCCCACTTTCCCACCCTGATGAACCCTTGATAAATTATAGATCATTATTTTACACTGTCTGCTGTCTCCCTTCACCCATGTTTTTGTTGTTCATCACCTTGGGTGGGTGGAGCTATACTTTCTTAATTGCAATCGGTTCCCCCATTCTCCCCCACCTTCCCCCTACCTTCATGGTATCACTACTCCCATTATTGTTCCTGGGGGGTTTATCTGTCCTGGATTCAGTGTGTCAAGAGCTTTTATCTGTACCAGTGTACATGCTCTGGTCTAGCCAGATTTGTAAGGTAGAACTGGGGTTATGATACTATCATGGGGTGAGGTGGGGGAAGCATTAAACAACTAGAGGAATGTTGTATGTTTCATTGGTGCTACGCTGCACCCTGCTGGTTCATCCCTTGTGACCCTTCTGTAAGGGGATGTCCAATTGTTTACAAAGGGGCTTTGAGTCTCCACTCTGCCCCCCTCGTTCACATCGATATGATTGTTTGTTTTGGGTCTTTTGATGCCTGATACCTGATCCTGTCGACGTCTCATGATCACACAAGCTGATGTGCTTCTTCTATGTGGGCTTTGTTGCTTTTAAGCTAGATGGCTGCTTGTTTGTCTTCAAGCTTTTAAGACCCCCAGGTGCTATATCTTTTAAGAGCCAGGCATCATCAACTTTCTTTACCACATTTGCTTATAGCAGGTTCTTCTTATTTTGAGTCATGCCCAATTACCAAATGAAGGTCTTAAAAGCTTTTCTCCCTCCTGTCATTTGGTCAACTCTACTTTGAGGTGACAATTTTTCCTAAGTAGTGTTTTCAGAGCCTTCCAACCTGAGAGGAATTTCCAATGCCATATCAGATAGTGGTCGTAAGGTTTCCAGTGGTTGCTTTTTCAGAAGTGGACTGCCCCTTCCTTCCTTCTGGTCTGGTCTTAGTTTGGAAGCTGTGCTGCAATCTTCCCACCATGGATGACCCTGATGGTATGTGAAGAACAGGTGCAATAGCTTCCAGCATCACAGTAATATGCAAGCCACCATGGTATGACAACCCGATGATTAGTGGTAACTGTAAACAGTAAAGCTAAGACATCCTATGGCATCAGTCCTGTTCTGTTCTGTAAGGTCTTCATGAATTGTAACTGACTTATTGGCACACAACAAAAAAAGAGTAGAAAACAAATTTATCCTTGTTGTACATGAATACATGGGTGTACTTTTCCTCCTGAAATTATTTTCACTGAGATGTGGAAGGTAATGTTCTCGGTGCCTGAGATAGTTTATTGTGCCAGCCTGGCTGATAAACACAAGTGGGATTAACTGAAGGGCAGAGAGATAAATGGCTTGGTGAGTCTCGCCTTTTCTTGTCTCTCGCTCTTTGATCATTGGACCAGTGTGCGACTGCCTCGCTTGTCCTGTGCCTCCATTTAAAGGCTACACTACCTGTGGGATGCCTAGCCTGTGGACTGTGTCACTGTAAGTTGAGGTCCCTTTAAGACATCTCTGGAGCTGGAGACTGGTGGTTGGTGATCTGGCTGGTGACCTGCCTTGTGATTGGCTGCTGTGCTGACATAGCCTAGCTCTCTCTATAAATAGAGGAAGATCTGGCAGCAGAATAGACTCGAAGGACTTCTAGTCGCTCACAACTCTCTCTCTCACGGGAGTGAGTTGCATTGAGCCATTTGTAGTGCTTTATAATTTAACTGTTTATTTCTTGTATTATATATTTATCTGTATATGATTTAACAGTTCATTTCTTGTTATATATCTAATTATCTTTATAAATAAATATATTAAATTATCAGCAATTTGGTTTTATCTCTTTAGAGAACCCTGTCTAACACAGTGCCCAAATCTTTTCTGAGGAAGAAGCACATCTTGCACCTATGCAGCTCAATGGAGATTCTGATGTGAGGGCAGCCTCTTAAGTCCCTGGAGCGTGTCTGACTCAACATGCTTGCTCTCCACATGAGTTTTCTCAGGGAGTATTGGGACCAACCTTCCTCTTCTTATCTCTTGGATATTTTTACAAAACCCAGGGCATGTGAAGCCAGTAGGCTTTAAGACTAGAAGTCATCGGCGGAGCCCATGAATGGAGGAAATGATCTAAGACCAGAGCCCATCCAATCACGACAGTGTCTAAACAAGATCCTCAGTGATGAATGAGCAGGGAAGATCACCAATAAGACCAAGTTCAAATTCATGTCCAGCGCCTCTAGGATTGGGGACTTGTTCTTTTTCCCTCTCAAAATTAGATCATCTTAAAATTCTACTGTGCTCTGTTGCTGCTTCAGTTCCAATCCTTAATGTCAGCTGCCTTAGTAAACCAGAAACACATTCATCTGAACGTCAGGGGATCTTTGGTTGGTCCAGGTTCTACACTTAAATTCTGGTATGACCACAGACAAGCTCAAAATCTCTCTAGGTTTCCATTTCTTCGTTATAAACAAATGAGAAGGGGTGGTATGATGGTTGGCTTCGTTCATTTTTTCCCTCCCTTTTCAGGCTTTATATCTTTACAAAAACAATACACTGCACCGTATGCTGTATACATTGTTTTTGTTTAGTTTGTTTGGATGAGTTCACCATCTTTGAAATATACTTTCTAAGTCACGACTTAGTGGTAGCCAAGTCCCATTTTCCCATCTCATGCCACTTTCCCAGACCACTGTAAGAATATGTTCGAAAACACTCAAGTACATAATGCCTATTTCCACTGAAATCTACTATGTTGCCCATTTTTGGTTTAAATTCTACTCCTATTGTGGAAACTTTGCAAAACAATGTTTTAATGAACCATCACATACCCATCTACCAACTTCAATAAGTCTCAATATGTTGTCAATCTTGTTTCATCACTTGTCTTCACCTCTCCATGTACACTCAGTAGAGAATTTATAGATAATATCAAACTTCATTTAACATTAAATACCTCATTTTGTGTATCTCACCGAGAAGGTCTTCCTTTTTTGTAAAAAATAAAAATGACTCCAGCCAGCTGCCATCTGGTCTGCTCTTACACCTGGTCCGTGGCACCATGTATTAAGATGATAACTAAGTTCTATAATGTTTCTAATGGCTAATTTTCCTTTTTTCTTTGCTCCTTTCTTTCAACTTTTCCCTTCCTTTCTTCCCTCCTTTCTTTTTCTTTCTTGAGACCTTTAGGCACAGTAGTTAAGTACTCAGTTGCTAACCAAAAGGTTGGTGATTCCAACCCACTAACTGTTCCATAGGAGAAAGATAGGGCATCTGCTTCTATAAAGATTACAGTTTTGGAAACCTTTGTGGGCTGTTCTACTCTGTCCGGCAAGCTATGACGATGAGTCAGAATTGGTTCAACAGCAATGATTGTTGTTCTCTAAAAATATTTTTTAGAAATAGTTTACCTTTTTGTGAGGCACCTCTTGGGACTTGAACCTCCAGCCTGTGGATAGCTGTTGATCTGTTAACCATTCACACCACCCAAGGACCTCAAATAGAACTCTACTTCATTAATAAGTTATCTAATATTAACCACAATCCAGTAGCTCTTTGAATTTTTAGTCAATTAAGAGTAAAATATATATTTTTATAAGAAAGTGATGGACTGGGTTGACCCCCTTTTTTCCAGGATGGATGGTAGCATTCACTGAGTAGTGTCATGGGGTTTCAGCTGACTGTTGGAGGCTGGGTTCTCAAAACCAGTGACACATCGATGTATCTATAGGGAGAAATCGATATTAAGAAAATGACTCAGGATTGTAGAAGTGAGCAAGTCCATTTATGGAAGGTTCCAGGTCTGTCGGGTCAGATGTTAGGCTGGAGACTTTAACTGACTCATTGAGCTGTAAGGGTTGATGAACTCAACATCAGCCCAAAGACCACAGGCTGGTGGCTGCAGAGGTGAATGAATCCACTGTTGTCAGATGAGATGGCAGGTTGCTGTCAACTCCTAGGATTGACAGGCTAAACTATGGCAGGTCACTGATTTAAGTCCAAAGAAGTGGAGGCCAGTGAGCCAGATGCAGGATCCAGACCCAGCAAAAAGGAAGGAAGCTTTTCCACGCCATCCGCTTATATTGGAAGCAGGCTACATCCCCCAAAAGACCTTTTTGTAATTGATTACATCAGGGCTGCGATCCCAGTTAGGGTATTGTATCCCACTCAAGTTTGCTTACAGCTGAGTGCCTGCTGAGAGCAAATCCAATTATGGAGGTGATGGCTGTGTGTTAGGGCACATCATGAGGGATCTCTCTCTCTCTTATCCCTTTTCTCCAAAGAGTTGAAATGCAAAGTAACTTGAGGATAAGAGAGTATTCTTAGGGTCAGGGCAAGGCTGTGCTAGACAGGTTGTGTTTCTTTTCCCTTGAAATGTTGTAACCTTTTTTTTTTTAAGGAGCATATTGAAATAGCAAAATGGAGACATGCCTCCTTAAACATGCTTGGTACACACTCCCTGAATTGAGAGAGAGAGAGAGAGAGAGAGAGAGAGAGAGAAAGAGGAGGAAGGAGGGAGGGAGGGAGGGAAGGAGAGAGGGCGGGAGAGAGGAAGAGAGATTGAGAAGGGAGTGAATCAAGAAAGTTTATAATCCACAGGTAAGTTTTATGATCCAGCTTTTGAGACAAGCTCCACTAATTTATGTAGGTTGTGTTTGAAATGACCTTCCACAGAGCCAATGGAGAAGGTGAATACCTGCCTTGGCAATGAAGCCGTTTCTGCAGAGGGGATGCAGTTTGACACAGTGAGGCTTACCCCTGGTTTGCATCGGTCCTTCTGGGAACCTAGGAGAGCCTCTGCAACCTTGTTTCCACGTGTAAGCTTTGAGCTACTCAAAACCTGGATCTGTCCCTTGCATCTCAGGAATGGAGTTCTCGAGAGAATAATGTGATGTCCAAGTTTCTCTAGTGGTGGAATTTTCCTTTTGCTTTTGTTGCTCAGTTTGTCAGAATTTAACCTAATTTGCATTTTCATTTGTGCAGATGAAATTATGCAGCAGGAAATCAGGCCCTTGGTGGCAGTGGATATAATAGAACAACTTCACAGACAATTTGTCATTCTGTCAGGTAAGAAGCAGATTTACTTGCATGTCTGTTTTTTTTGTGGGGTCTTGCTGGGAGGCCCTCAATGCACTTTACACTCAAGTGTCAGTCATCCCTACGCCTTGCTCAGGGCAAGAGGGAACAGAGGGCTATCTAGGTGGAGGCAGGTGGGATGTTATGCCCTGTGCTGTGAGGTGCATCCTGGCTCCTAAGGAGCAGGGCTAGGATGATGTTAACCAAGGAAAAGGAAACAGGGCATCAGCTTCCAGCACGATTAGAATATTCTGGTAAGATTCCCCCTTCAGAGTCCGTGTTTGCAGGATTCATGAGTGTTGCTCAGATTACTTGTTCTCTGAGATGTTTTTCTTTTATCTCAGTTATCCCACAGACCTCATGCATAATCAATCCTGGTAGATTTTAATGCATTGACTATACACTTGGAGGTTAACAGATTCTCCCTAAGGGTTATCAGCCATCCAGAGCAAGCAGACACCATTGTTTATCCTACAACAAGTAGGACCCACTCCCTTCTGATAAGGATAGTAGTTGACTTTCCCTGAAGGAGAGCCCAGGGAGGTCAAACCCACCCAAGGGTGACCAAGTTAGGCTGCCATCATGAATCTGGTTCCACCCTTCTTGTCACATGTATACCTAGTCCCTCCCCTTCCTACTGCATGCACACCCCTAGCTCATCCCCTTCCTGTTACACCTATGCCCGTTGTATATCCCTCTCCTATTGCTTGTATTGCCTGTTGTACAGCCCCTTCCTGTGACGAGTGTGGTTACCTGTAATCATAACCCCTAAGGAGCGATAAGCCTTGGTTAGCAATAAAGTTGCTCTCCAGCTGGCTCTCTGCCCCACGTCACCTCCGGCCCTCTCGGCCCACACTGTGTGTGGACCTGCCTGGTAAGATCATGGCCATCTAGGAGGTCAGCATGCTACTATGAAATGTGTCTGACTTCATTATTTGACTCTCTCTCTTATCTCGCTCATGCTCTATGACTTTATTATAATCTTAATGTATCTTAGCCATACAATTGCACTTACTGAACCCATGATTAGTTGTGGGGGGCTGGCCTTTCCCCCCCACAGATTTCTGTCAAGCTTTTTGATCAGGAAGGGAAAAAAGGCTGGTACCAATGGCCCTCCATTTCCTTGGATTCTACATCTGAGGATTCACCAGCCACAGATGGAAAATATTCAGGGTTGGGGAGCAATTTGGTGGTCAAAGAAAACCCTCAAAGGCTAAGGAGCAGCAGAAAGTGGTACTTACAAAGCATGTACATTGTATCAGGTGTCATAAATACTCTAGAGAGAATTTAAAGTGTACAGGAAGATGTGCATATGTTACACACAAATGCCAGGCCATTTTATATAAGGAACTTGAGCATGCATGGATTTTGATATCCACAGGGCTCCTGGAATTAATCTCCCATGGATACCAAGGGATGCTTATATGTATTTTTTAAAAGGTTAGACTTTTTCCAAGTATAAGTACAACACTGAAAGCTGTCAACACTAGGATACTTATGCCTTTAGGCACATGTGACATGACTTTAATGCCAATGAAACTGGAGATAAACACCAGACTCTTTAAGTTATGGTTGTACAAACTGGAAACTTCATAAAGTGAGTTAGATGTCCTGAGTGTGTATCACATCACAGAGCTGTAAAGTTTCACGTGCCTCTCCTAAGAGTTTATATTTGTTCTGAAGCAAAAAGGAAAAGCCAGCTTATTTCCATCATAGAAAGAATATACCAACTCAAAACAACAACAGAAACGTAAGGCTTTCAAGCCAGTTCTAATTTATAACAACCCTTTAGGGCCTGTAGAACTGTCCCTGTGGGTTTCTCATGTTGTAAATCTTTCTGGAATCAGAAAGCCTCATCTTGCTCCTGAAAAATGGTTGGTGGTTTTGAACTGCTGACCTTGGAATTAGCAGCCCAGTTAATAACTCACTATGCCACCAACCCTACTACAGACCATAATTAGGAGAATACATAATGGGTATAATTTTATTCAACAAGACAGGAAGTTAGAAGAGTCGTATTTCTGTTCTTTAAAACATAGGTTTCCATATTTATTTGGATTGCTGTCCCTGTCTCAGAAACAATAATGTCTCAGTGTCCTACTGGCTATTCAAAAATGTTTGCACTATAACGCATGATTGAGGATAAAGAGTAGGAACCTACCTTTGCAGCCCCCCTGGTTCGTTCCAGCACCCACTTTGGAGAACATTCATATTTAATCTGCTCCATATGCCTCATCTCACTGAGCAGGACAAAATGTAACCTGAGTTCTTACCTAGTTAAAATACACCTGGCTGGGTGTATTTTACACAATTCAGAAGCAGAGGGAAAGAACATGGGAGAATCACACTGCTCCTTAAAAGCCTTGGCTCAGCGATGTCATACATCACATTTCCATGGACTTGAACATGTCTTACTCATATGGCTACACTTAACAGCAAGGAAAGTTGGTGTGTTAGTCTGGGTCAAGTAGGGAAACAAATCCACAGAAACTTATATGTATAAGAGAGAGTTTTGTATGAAGGGCAAGTGTACATTAAGAAAGCATCCCAACCCAGTGCTGCCCAAGCCCATAAGTCCAACATTAGCTCATATGACCGACACCAATCTACAAAGTCCTCCTCCATCTCACAAAACACATGCCATGATGCCAACTGCAGGAGGAAAGCCAGATCAGTGAATGTGTAAGCATCTCAGCGCTGGCAGGGGTCTCCACACGGCTGCTCCAGCACCCAGGGCTGCATCAGGATAGGTCCATGTGGCTTCTCCTTAGGGATGTCTTGCAGGAAGTGAGCCTTGCCAGCTGAAACAGGCAACTGGCTTAAGGCCGCTTCACCCTGTTCCGACCATCAGAAAAGAAAGAGACCCAAGAACTAGAAAGGTGAGACTCACCGAGCCATTTATCCCTCTGCCCTTCAATTAACCCCACATGTGTTTATCAGCCAGGTTGGCAAAATAAACTAACTACGTCAGTTGGGCAATGTAGTTTAGTTGTCTGCTTGGGACCAACAGAACATTTCCTTTGTGAACTTAAAAGTATTGCAAACGCTTAAAAAAATTAAAAAGAGATAAAATCCTTGATTTTCTAAAATAGATAATAGATAATATCTAATTAAAATAGATAAAATGTAAAAGAAATAAGAATAACAGTAAAATAACATGCATGTTAATAGCATGTGTTTTAAGAATAATTATTTCAATATGTAGTTCATGTAGGAAGTAGTCAGGGGTTTGATCCAGGGGTTTGGTCGGATGGTCAGACACCCTGAGTGGTCTCATGACAGCAATTTCCTGAAATAGTAAATACAGTTTAGTGAAGGTCTGAGTTAAATAAAGTCGTACCTTCCTTTGATTTATATGCTGGTTGCATTCTTAGAAAATTCAGTATATATTAAGACTGTGTCTTAAAAATCTTTGTAATCATATGGAAACCAGAGTTAGCATGCCGGCGCCATCCTCATTAACACGTGTGTCTGGTAAGACACTCAGACGCATCACAGGACGTGGACAGCTCCGGCATGTGGGGCTGGCTGGTGCTGATGCACGTCACTCAGCATCCCTGAGGATTCTCAGTATCTCTGAGAGGGTGGTGGTTGCCATGCCCTGGTGGTGCTGTGTCCCTGGAGACCTTCTGGTACAGAGCCACCTTGCTGATATGGAGCAAGGTCAGAGGAGAGAGTCATCGGTGCAGTGGAGACTGGCACAGTGACCAAGCTGGCCTCCGGGCAGGTAATGCACCCAGGGCCCAGTGCTGGGTGCTGACTGGAACCCAGGTTTGAATGACTCTTTCTACTCCCTCACTCTACCTTATTTAAATTTTACTGGACTCCAGAGCACCCGTCCATGGTCTAAAGAGAGTGATTTAGACAAACTAAGGCCTTTGACTTTCCTTGAAGCCTTTCTAAGGTATAACCTTGCTAAGGTTATAAAGCGGGCAGTCACAAATATACCTAGTTACATAGTTTAGTGAAGTTTCACATATGTCTTTACCCTTGTATAAACATATAGCAAAAGGTCCTGTGAAAAGGCAGGAAAGAAAGAAAAGACCAAAGTCGAAGTCAGAAGAGACGTTGAACCTTGCTAAAGCAAAGGGGAGAAATGATGAAGTAAAAGAGCTGAACAGAAAATCTCAAAAAGCATCTCAAGAAGGCTATAAGTAGCACGTTATAATGAAATATACAATAACCTGGAGTTAGAACCCCCAAAGTGAGAGTATGCTCAGCTGTTCCTCTGGAAAAACATCCCTCAAGCTGAAAGAATGGGAGAAAAAAGCAATTCAAGCTCCGAGTAACCCTATTGAAGGATTCTATGGCCAAATTATCGAATGATGCCTATAATCCAAAGAAGACGGAGGAATACCCAGCCACTGTACCAAAAACAGCTGACCAACGTCCAACCATTTCAAGAGGTAGCATGTGATCAAGGACTGATGCTATTGAAGGAAGAAGCTCAAGTCGCTTTGAAGGCATCAGCCAAAAATAAAGCAGAAAGCAATTAATGGAACCCTCATTGAAAGTTCCACAAACTGATACTGCACTGGAATCACTGTCTATGCTAAGAAATTTGGAAGAGAGATACCTGGCCAGCTGATGGGAAGATATCCATGTGTGTGCCCATTAGAAATATTGGTGACCCAATAGAATGTGTAAATTATCAAACAATCTCATTAATGTCACATGCAAGTAAACTTTTGCTGAAGATAATTAAAAATGGTTGCAACAGCACACCTGTGGAGATCTGTCAGAAATTCAAGCTAGATTCAAAAAAGGAAGCGGAATAAGGGATATCATTGCTTATTTCAGATAAATCTTGGTTGAAAGCAGAGATACCGGAAGAAGACTTACTGTGTTTCATTGATGATGCAAAGACCTGGACTGTGTGGATCTTCACAAACTATAGAGAGTATTGCAAAGAATGGGAATCCCAGAACGCTTCATGATGCTCATTCAGAACCTGTACATAGAACAAGAGGCAGTTGGTCAAACAGAACAAG